CACATCTGCCCTGTGACCCAAGGGCACTCGTGGCAATGTGGCCGTGTGGTTAACGTGTCAAGCTCACATTCTGCACTGTCACGGTTCGACTCCCGCTGGGGTGTTGATATTGCAGTCCACCCTGGAGGAGAATACCTTTAGGGAAAGCAAGTATATCTGAAATTCAATGAAAACGTTAGCTCTACTCATATGCTTATGGGAAAATTCTACTACCTGTCCTTCATCACCTTAAACGAAATTGGGTGAATAAATCTCATATTTCACATTGACCTAATAAATTCGACCCAATATGATACAAGAGTGCCTTAGTATTTAATACTAAATTTCGATACATATGTTATTCCTTATCTTATTTATTCTTAAGGCTAAGGCTTGTGATTGCTGGTTTCCAGTAATGGTCTCTAGCCAGTTTGACACCTTAAATTACAAAAACTTTTATAATTAACCACGAATAGTTCAGTTCCACATTCTTTGTAGAATTCAAAGTACCTTCTGGCTGATTAGTTATTTTAATATTAATATTAATATTTATTTAAATATATACATATGGTACAGATTCGCACTATGATTTTTCGGCATAGAGGAAGACTTGGAGGACTGTTTTCCAGCTTGTTAACCTCAATTCGAGGATTTGGCATCTTAGAGATATACATAAAGACTCATAATGATTTAATGTGTCACCGTTCCCCTTTATTTCCATGCATCCACAGACTCGTGATCATCTTCAGTCGCGGTTGAACCTGACACTGTTCGAACTGGAGGCAGGAGTGGCTCGTGCCGATGAGGCCGTTGAGGAGGCCCAGCAGGCCAGCAGCCAATTGTCGAAGATGCGCTCCGAGCTGGCCAGCTTACGCAGCCGACACGACCGTGAGCTGGCCGAGAAAACCGAAGAACTGGAGGAGATGAAGTGAGCCATTTGTAAGGGTCGCGGCGCGGATTGGTAGTAGAATTTCCGAGGCGATAAATGCAGAATGTTACATTCGCCGAAAGTCAGCTTTCGGCCAAAATGAAGATTAGTGGACAAATCGACACGTTTCTCTTTTAAACTGGGACATCTGGGCAGGAGGATCTCATTGTCCGGTTTCTCCCTGTTAACTCTTTTGCTTCTCACCATCCTCTTCTTTATTCTCATCCATTTACAACCTTTTTATGTTGTCGGAGCGACCTCAAAAATCGCTCCCTCACACGGTTGTCATTATTTTTCCAGTGCCTGACTCCTCAGTTGGTAGACTTCCAGAAGTTTTGCCAAGTTCGAGGCACTGTCTTCGTAGTCAGCATGACAATACGACAAAGTTGCGAAAACCAGGTCAGACCAATCCTAGAAAGTGAGGGGATACAAACTAAAGGGTACACAATCTTAACGTTTATTCTTACGATGGCTTTCGTAATGTTTTGTATCCTGCGATTTACAGGACAGGGATTTGCGAAGATCCACGTTTGATCATTTACGAATGTCACATGCGACCCTCCTACTCCATTTTATAAAGTGCTACTTTTGCCTTAATCAAAGTTCATATCACCATTTGATAAAGGTCTTAGCAAATTGTTTATTTTAGCTCGAATGTGTCCAACCGGGCTGTAAAGTCGGCAGACTCAGACTGAAGACGATATAACCAACATGGTGAGATCTTTAGTTTGGCCGCAGTTTATTTGCGCCATTTATAGTTTTGTTCGCCTCAAAAACGAATTTAGTTGGCCCAGATAGCTGAAGATGATTTAAGGATTGAGGGTTGAAATTTCTCACGCTACATTTAACCCAGCCTTGCCTCACAAACGGCTTTCTCATCCAGGCTGGACT